GACCTTGGTTTTCCTGTTCCTCCCCATCAGGACTTTCCATATCCTACAGCCCCCCTGGGACACCCCAGCTGTGCCCTGGGCACTGTGGCTGCTGCCAGGATAACCCAGATACCCCTGAGAGTATCCAGCTCCTGGAACTCTGGTTGGCTTTGGGTCCCTGCAGCAATCCCACCACAGCCAACACTGGGACACCAAGGCCACTTTTGAGACACGAGTGCCAGACCTGGGCCACCAAGGGTATCCCTGGACAGCACAGTCACCTGTGGGACACTGCAACCATCCCCAATTCCCAGCTCTTGTGGGTGACAGGGATGTGCCCTGAAGTCACTGGGACACTTGACACCCTTGGCTGGCAGTGGGGGTGGCATGAGACCTTGGGACCTCCTTCCCACAGTCTGCCCCGGGCTCTTGGCATTCCCTGGCTGCCAGAGCCAGGCAGATGTGGGAGGGAAGGGATGCCCAGTGCTGGGGTGATGCTCTCCCACCCAGGGGACCCTCTCCTATCTCCTTCAGCACTGCCATCCCTGTGGCATTCCAGGGGAATGATAAAGGGGACAGGCTGCCAGGGACACACCAGGACCTGCCCCACATGTCCCAGCCCTGTTCCCCTTGGGCTGAAACTGGTGTGGGGCTGGGGACCAGCTCCCCCCTCCCAAACCCTGCTCTGAGGTGTTTCAGTGCTGCTCTCACTGCAGCTCCACTCAGGGTCAGGTGCAGTCCCTCATTCCCAGCTCATTGCCCTGGAGCATTTCCACTTTGTCTAAACCAAGGCTGTAACAGGAGCACTCCGTGGCTGCCAAAACCTTCTCACCTTCGCTGTCACCAGGAAATGGTGCTGGAGCTCAGGAACATCCTCTGGTCAGAGTGCTGCCTCTGTTGGCAGGGTCACAGGAGGCACCCCTGTCCCCAGGGAGGACCTTTCCCTCTGTGGGGACAGATGGAAGTTCACACAAGCTGGGAACGGGGAAATCAGCCATGTTGGCAGTGTTGTGTTGACATTCCTTAGGATTTTTCTTGGTGTTTGTCCAGCTGGTAATGGTGTTGGCTGGAGCAGGCCTGCAGAAAAGCCTGGTGGGAAAAGGACACATCCAGTGTGATGTTCCCAGCTCAGAGGGTGGATCCTCTCGTTTTCCCACACCAATGACCCTTCATCCTCTCCCTCTCTTGGCTTCTCCAGGGGGAAGGGATGCTGAGGGTCCAGCAGGCATTTGGCTGCTCTCCCTCCAAACCAGCTTGCCAGCATTCCCAGAGATCCAGTGGGTTTATTTCCCATCTCCCTCCTCTGTGGCAGTTCTGTGGTTCAGCTCAGCTGTTTGTGGCACTCCTCATCCTCCTCATGCTCCTGCTATCCCCATCTCCATGCGCCAGATTGCTGCTGGGGGAGCTTGGGAAGCAGCAGGGCCTCAGGCTCCAGCCACCCTTTTGGGCTGAGATCAGAGGGTTTGTGGTTTTTCAGGCTGTGAACTGAGCAGGGGCTGCCCAGGCACAGCACAGGAGGGCTGGGATAGGGGAGCTCCCACAGCCACAAGGGAAATCAGGAAGGAAATCACCCCAGTGCAAAATTCACCCCATATCCAAAGTAGGGGAGCAGGAGGGGCAGCAGAGCTCACACTAAGCCTGGATTTAGGATGGATCAGTTTGCCAGCAGCTGACTCCTCTATAATTAGACAGCAGCAGTGGAACAGGAGCCAGCTCGGAGCACAGAGCTCCAACATCCCCCCATGCAGAGCATTCCACATGACCCTGGGTGTGTAAACAGCCCACGAGGGATGGGCTGTGTCTCCTCCCCAATGGGGACACAGGAATGCAAAGTGCTGCCTCTCCTCAGGCTGCCCCAGGAGAAGATGTGGCCCCAGTGGATAAATCCCACTGGGATGCAGGCTGGGTGGCTTAGCAGCATCTTGTCCCACGTCACTCTGGGGGCTGGAAGGAGCTGCAGCCCTGCTGGCTCCAGGCCCTGGTGCCCCTGGTTTGTGGTTCCTGAGCTGTGCCCCACTCCTGTGTGACCTGGGGAGCTCCATGTGTCCTTGCCAAGGTGCCACAGCCCCGGGCTGTGCCCTCTGCCCACCTCTGCCATCACCTCACACACGAGCTGAGAGAGGGAAAAGGGACGGCTGGCAGTTGTGTGGGAGGCTCCAGGCTTTTATCTTGGCCGTGCTTTGCAACAGATGTGGAGTGAGCAATGTCTGTAAGGCAGCAGCTCAGCTTTGCTGCACCCAGATTAAAGGATTTAATAATCTGCTGGCAAGATGTAATTGAAAAAGGCAGAGCTGTGGCTGTGCAGCACTCAGCTGAGGCACCAGGGCATTCCCACGCTCCTGAGATCCCTCCAAACCTTCCAGCAACACAGCAAATCCCAGTGTGTATGGGGCAGGCCCTGTTCTCCATGGATCCAGGGGCTAACACTTCATCTTCCTTTGTAGGTAACGATTGATTTGTCAGTAGTGAGCTGCCAGGGAGCTTTTCACTCTGTACTTGGCTGCTCCAGAAGGGATAAGGAACTCAAAGTGGCACTGCCTCCATGCTGGGTGTGGATGTGGCACATGGGGACAGGGGTTACTGGTGGGAACNTGTGGCACTGTCCCTGTGTCCCCAGGGAGGAGTTCAGGGGCACCATAGCCCTGCTCCCCTGGCTGTCCCCAAATCCCCTGCAGGACCAGGCTGTGGGGACAGCCAGGTGGGTGACACACGGGAACAGGAGGGTGTACAGGCAGGGCATGAGACATGGCAAAGAGACAGAGGGGACATGTGAGGAGCAAGGACATGTAGGGACAGCGTGACATGTCAGGTGGGGTAACCTGCAGGGACACAGTGACATAGGGAGGGTGAGGTGACATTTATGGGCAGAATGACATGCAGGGACACAGTGCCAGGTGGGGCAGGGTGCCAGGTAGGGCAGGGTGACACATGAGGACTGTCCCTTGCCCACAGGTGTCAGCAGAGGACAGAGTGTGCTAGTGGTGGCCAGTGGCCTCTGGCCTTGGGGCTGACCTTGGGACTGATCTTGGGGCTATGGGGCTGAGGGGACAGTGAACCCTCATTGTGGCCATCCTGGGCCAGCCCTGGGATGCCTGGGCAGGGACTCTGTGGGGCAACCACACCACAAAAGCCCCATAAGCCCCCTCTGTATGGGAGGGGTATGGGGTGTGTATGGTGTCTGTGGGGATGTGGTGTTTATGGGGTGA